TTTATATATATATATATATATCATTTATTTATACGCCATCAACAAATTTTCATCATCCAGCATGAAACTAGAGGCAATATTTTAAATAAAAAATATTCAAATCTTTATAAAAAGTTATCCAGAGCTCCGATTTCAGTAAACTTATAGTCAAACTGACTGGCTCGATGAGAAGAACACAATGATATAAAAAATAATCCAATCTGAGTCAAATCAAACACAGATCAAATCATTAAACCACACTTGGAGGATTGTTAGAGACATTTGAAATGACAAATGAACGTCAAATCTAGAGAGGTCATAATCAAATCGAGCGTCTCGACAAGACGAATCCAACGAGGCCAAGATTGCTCGATTCTGACATCGTTAAGGCACTCAAATGTCCATCAAACATCATCTGATTGAGCGAAGCTTTCTGGGTTGTCCGATCAAAATGATTCATATTTCTGCATTTATTGCACTCAAAACAATATATATAGAGTCTCACCCCTCACATGAAAGAGGAGGTTGGAGAGAGAACTTGAAGCTTTGAGAAGGAGCTCAACTCCAACATCATTCATGTCATCGTCTATCTCCATCCACCACCACGTCTGTCGTAAACCACTGTCGATCATCGCCGACCAACACCAACAGTCAACAACCACTGCTAAACTCCGTCGATTACCGTTGACCATCGTCGATCGCCGCTGACCTCTGTCGACCACCGCCGACCGTCATCAATTGTCGCCGACCACCGCTATGCAACAGCGCCAAAAGCTTGATGCAATATTTTATGAATTAGAAATTTAAGCAATTAATGTTGGGATTCTACGCAAGTATACGTATCGTTATCATGTAATAAAAGACTTTCTATTTAAGCCCTAAATATCAATCCCATGAGGAAGGATTAAATTTGAAATGATAAATTAATTAGGAAATTCACAAAAAATCAAATAAAATTACTGTCACTAATTTTGAATATGTAAGATGCTAACAAAACTAAATTATTTAACTTCTAGCAAAACTGAAATGCAAAGTTTAAACAATAGCTACTAAACTATTAGACTATATTTATGTGATGAAAATTTCTTATGTATAAAGCATCTTTCCCACTGCAATGA